ATAATAATACAAGCACATTAATACTTAGGTGCATAGCACAGATAAACGTTTTAAGAGTAGTATCACCCATTCTATTCTTCTCTCTCTCTCTCTCTCTCTCTCTCTCCCTTTCTTTCTGACTTTTCTTGCCTATCGTAATTTCGAGGCTTGCCAAAAACGAGGAGATGCATTTTGCGCAGCTGGCAAAAGTATCTTTGGGATTAACTTTACGTACGATACGTACACACATACGTATGCATATACATAGTACGTTGTAGAATTTCGTTTAAAACGCTACCGTGTGTCCTGGTGAGAGGCATACGGGAAAGATGGAAAGAGAAGAGAGACGAGAAGTAAAGAGAAGAAGAAAAGAAAAAGGGGGAAAAAGAGAGAAGAACGCAAAAAGCCACGAATTCGCCACAGATAACCGAGATTCTCTCCTACTTACTCGGCTTTCCTGTATCTTCATAGCTATCCCCCTTTTCACCTTCACCCCTTTTATCTCATCCCGCCATCCTATCCCACTTCCTTCTTCACGCTTCCCCCTAACTTCTACGCGTCGTTTTGCCCTCGTCGGTCTTTCTCTTTCTATTTCTCGTATTCCGGCCGCACCCTTATGTACTTGAATTTACTACGCCATTCACGTTTGCGTCTACATAAATTGTTGCGTCGGACGTACACGTGCGCGCGCGAGCGCGTACTTACGTACGTTTTGCTACGCCATAGATGAGATACACTCACGTATACGCGAATACATTAAATGTATATGTATATGTATGTGTAGGTATATATATTTTTCTATAGATTCGTATATCGCGCGTTCGCGGCCAGTCAGACCGCAAAGGGAACACACACGGCAGAACGAACGCAGAACGAACGTAGAACGAACTTGTAATGCACGCGTGAGCGAGTATGTCGCGGAGCTCTACACCTACGACTTTTGAGTCGAATCGAGTCGAGTTTTCCAACATTATGTCGAGGTTCGGTACGTTTATTTGATTTCTCGTAAAAACAAAAAAACAACTTTTCGAATGTAAAATTTGTAATTCTCGCGCCAGTGCAATAATTTATTCAAATATTCTTCTTTTCATTATGTCAAGGATTGCATACCGATCGTAGTAGTTACGTTTATCGACTTATTACGTGACGTTAGTTGCATTTGGAATAGATTCCAATTTACCCATGATTAGTAGTAATAATAATATTATAATGATAATAATATAATACCTAAATAATAATATAATATATTATAATTGTTATATAACAATAAACCGTAAATGGATATATTTCTTTGAATATTATTAATATTATTTTGATAATTTTACAATCAAGTTAGGATCCTGGCTAATTTTGGAATGTATAACGGAATAGTAGAGAGCAAGGTACGAACGAGGTCCTAATTTTTAATTTCCATTGCTTTTGCCGGTGGCAGGATAGCCGTACTTGGACAAGGGACACAGAGGGAGAGAAAGAGAGAGAGGGGTGAAGGGATAGTAGGAACAGGTTTTCAGGTCGGTAGGATGCGAGAGGGGCCCTACGAAGCGTGACTACTTGACGATGTGGCCTGGCCTCTTTTTAAGCTTGGAAAATGGTGAACAGGTGTCCCTAAAAACTCGACGCCTCCAACTTTTCTTACCTCTCTCTGTCTCTCTTTCTCTTCTACCCTCCCTCCCTACCTCCCTCTCACCCTTTTTCTTCCTGTTTCTTATATCTCTTTTCGTTCACTGTCGTGAGAAGAATTACGAACGATCGCTCGAAATCAAGATCGGATAAAATAATGTTAATTTATTATTTTTAAGGTACGATTAAATATATTATCCTATAAAAAACGAAAATAGTTTTCTCTCTCTTTTAAACCCCTCCCCTCCCCCCTCCTCATACATAAATAAGTTCACTCGAATAGATGAATTTTAGTCCGAGCATCTTTTTGGTTTGATATTTCGCGTTAATAAAATCTTTATCGAAAATCGAATTCATAGATGGGCTGACACTTTTTCGTAGAAACGTGTTTCTCTCTGGGTCGCGTATAAATATTTCAATATCTCCGAAAATAGTAGGGCACGAGAGGATACACGCGGAGGTTGTGTATCCTAAATACCCAAGGGAAAAATTCCTACGTCGCAAATGATGCGATTACTCGCGGCCCAAAACTTGCGGGGAATTTTAATATTTCGTATTTTCAACGAATAATACGAAAGTGTGTGTGAGAGAGAAAGAGCGAGAGAGAGGCAGAGGAAGGGAATAGGATGATATATTTGTAATAGTCCTCATTTTTATCGTAAGAAAAGTATCAAAGAAGAGACTTTTTTGATTTAAATCACTGTGTTATACAGTGATTTTAGATGATATTAATTATTGACTCCTATTCATCCTATTGTATTTATTATATATATATTCTATACACGTATTTGTATATGAATATATATGTGAATATATGCGTGTGCATATATTTTACATAACTTAAAGGTAGCATATGTACAGGTGGGTCTTATAATTGTACATTCGTGTACTTATACTTTGTATGTAGAATTAAGCAAAAAGCCGTGAAAAAAAGAGAACTCGTTTCAGGGGATCGCAGAATATCTAATTATTATAATTTATTCGGTTCGTTTCTCGTAGGTATTACATATACACGATTTCTGACAAATGCCTGCCTTCTCGCCGATTGACAGCTTATTGGCGGTTGTTACGCCATGTACTTAAGACAACAGCATCACCTTAGGCCTATATATTATATATGTTACCGTCATAGCCGGAAATCTGCCATTGCTAGTAATCCCTTGGCATTCTCATAAATGCAAAGAGCATTCCGATGAAGTCGGAAACAGAAGAATTCTTACAGTTTTTCCTAAGCATTGAACATAACATAATACTCATAACATATTCTATATATGGTATTCTACGAGTAGACAAAAGAGTGTACTTTAATTTAATATAAGTTTCATTAAAATCTATTTACTTTTAGTATAAAAAATATTTACTGAAACTTTTCCAAGAAATAGCAAAGATGCACAATTTACAGCATTGCATTCTCTGACATTTYCTGAAYTTTAMRTGCTWAATTTATAACTCGATATGGTATTCTACGCGTAGACAAAAGAGTGTACTTTAATTTAATATAAGTATCATTAAAATCTATTCACTTTCTTAGTATAAAAAATATTTACCAAAACTTTTCAAAGAAATAGCAAAGTTGTACAATTTTATGCATTGCAATCTCTGATATTGTGTGATCGTATGGCTGCGTGTGTCTGTGTCTGAGAATGTATTCTTTTCAACGTTGTTTAAATAGTAATTTGATATTCTATAGGATATCAAAGTATTATGTTTGATGCCTAGGAAAAACTCTGTAAAAAGTCTTATTTCCGACTTCGTCGGAAGGCGCTTTGCATTGATAACAATGCCGAGGAATTACTAGCAATGACTGATTTCCGGCTTCGACGTTAACATATATATCTTTACTTACGTATTATATACGATTATACGAAACTACGAGCCACGCATACACGTACAGGATGCACGAAGTTATACGGAACCATTGCACGCTATCATTTCGATCGTAAACCATCGAAATGGTTTGATCTTATTTTTCTTATAATCGATTCGAATGATTTTTTCTTACAGCGGAAACTGAAAATTACTGATTAAACTTAATTATTGTTCCAAAATAATTTCCATACATTTACGATATAACAGCCTACCTAGATTATTTACTTTAGTTAAATTTCTTATATTATATATCGCATAAAATAAAAAGAAAAAGAAGAAAAAATTTATTATACACGCAGTTTTCTCTACGACCAACGCGTAAAATTAGATCTATTAATCAAAAACGCTGTATAATGAAGTAATACTTTATAAAACTAGGAAATATATTTAGCTTATATTTGATAACGAGGTGGTTTGTTGGTTATAAAGTTTTCGCGAGGAAATTGTCAGAATTTATGCGTGACATTGCCGAAAGAGAGAGAGAGAGAGTGAGAGAGATAGAGAGATAGAAAGTGAGATAGAAATACAGTTTAAGAGAGAGTGAGAGAAGATTGAGCGTTAGTCGTAACCGTGTAAAGACAGAGTATCAAAGTTGTAGTACATACGTATTTAGCGAGATATAGAAGGAGAGAAAGGGAAAGGGAAAGGGAAAGGGAAAGAGAAAGAGAAAGAGAAAGAGAAAGAGAAAGAGAAAGAGAAAGAGAAAGAGAAAGAGAAAGAGAAATAGAAAGAGAAAGAGAAAGAGAAAGAGAAAGAGAAAGAGAAAGAGAAAGAGAAAGAGAGAGAATGAGAGAAGGTACAGGAAGGTTGTAGCTCGCGGATAGAGGTAGGATCGCTCGAGGTCGTTGGAGGAAGAGCGAGTCGAACATCGTGACGTCGTGATGTCTATGTGTATATATAAGAGACTACATTATGCCTTCCGACCTGTTGCTACCCCTCCTCACCCCGTCGAACATTCGCCCAACCCCCTGTGTACCACCAAATGGAGCGTTCGTGCTCTCTTCGCCTCATTGAAAGCCTCCTATTCTCTCTTTCTATCTCCCTCTATCTACACATACATACATATAACACATATACTAAGTTTCTATACTCTTCTCTTTCTAGAATCACTATTTCCTTCTCGTTTCATCTTACTGCTCCTATCTACGTATCGCATATGGTCTATCCGTCTATTTATCTCTCGTCCCATCTCACTCTCTTCTCTCCCTCCTCATTTCAGCTCTTCTTCTTCTCCTAGTAACTTTCACCCTTGTCGTTAGCAATCGTAGTAGTAGTTCCCCTAGGTACGACTAATATAATCCCTTCTCGATCTGACCCTTGAACCTTGCTCGCTTTTTTTTTTTTTTTTAATTTTCACGAATCTACTACGAAATCAAATTGGAAATTTGATTTCTTCCGATTCTTCGGTATTTATAATTTTTATTACTTTGGTAATTTATTATTTATTAGAGCGTAAGAATAAATCGATCGTTTGATCAATTGTCATTGCAATCATTAATGGGCTTGTATTTTTTGTTATTTGTTTTGTGTAGCCTCGGGAGGGGGTGGTTCGATGTTGGTCCCTCCCGTGGCCCAAGGCGGGACGGGCGATCGTCCCGTTGGTGACGCGAGTGGTAGGGCCCAGCAGTCATCCGGCCCTGCCGGGACAGCAACCCTATGGCCTCTCGCACCAGCGCAGCCCAATCAAGTTCCAAATCAACAGTCGCAAGGAATACCACCCTTGGCTGCTACCCCTGCACCGGCACACAATCAAGGTACACCAAATACTTATATTTTATATTTGATATCGTTTAATGTTTTAATTAGGGATGCTGAACTAACTCGTTAAGGTACTTGACACGCGAATGACATTGCAAGTCAATTGAAATTCAATACTTTTTGTTTTTATTACTGAAGAATATTTGTTTGGGTATCATATTATTTTATAATCGAATAAAACTCATATCGTTACTCTGAATTATTTACTGTTATTGCACAAAATATTAGTTATTTTGGTAAATGAATTTTTCAATTAAAAAGTTAACACTAAATCTACTGACAGTTAAAATACACACTAGACTCTCCTCCCATATAACACGAGTTTTTACAATGCGAATTCTTATAACGCGTTAAGGATATTGCGGCAACCGCTTTCGTGTAACCCGATTTTTTTTCTACAACACGGTACATGATAAAACGCGGGAATTTCCCTCATTTAAAAATTCAATTTACATTAATTGAGCATTACATTGTTGTCTTCATTGGAACCATTTCTGTTTTTTTCTTTTTTTCGTGTTTTCCGATAACCTCACGTTTTCAAAATATGACGACGGAATTCGTTCTAATTACAAAACATTCGTATAATTGGAAAATTAAATATGTGAAATGTGAAATTAGAAAACATATTTACAAAGTACGAAATACAAACTTCGATATTAGTATTGGAAAGTAACGTTTTCTAAGTTGAAAATTTTATATTGTGTAATATAGTTTTAATTAATATGTAATATCGAAAATCGCGTTTTTTTTTTTAAATTTATTTATCTAATATGAAACACGTTCATAAACTTAGCAAAAGTTTCTTAATTATAAAAGTATTAGTAAAGTTTTATTGTGTTGTATGAAAGTTATATAAACGCGTATTTCTCGTAGCCGAAATAGCTCAGTTGGGAGAGCGTTAGACTGAAGATCTAAATGTCCCCGGTTCAATCCCGGGTTTCGGCAAATGTTTTTTTTTTCTTTTCTTTTCTTTTTTTTCTTCTTTTTCTTTTATTTCACAATATCCAACCATTATACTTCACGAATAGTATTATTTGATAAATTTTTAAATTATTTTATAAATAATTTATACGCGTGTCGATAATCGTGACACCGAAACCGAGTCAAAAAATGGATTAAATTTATTCGATGATTTATTTTATAACTTTAGCAATGATGATATAAAATAAATCGTAAAATCAATTCCGTTCAATTTTCTTATTTTACCGACTGTCGTAATTACCTGCGCGTATATCTGAAATCGATCGAGAATCTTGCGAGGAATGAGAAGATGTAAACGAGTTTATGCGAATATATGTCTCATTCGCGGAACCGCATTAAAATCTCGTTGTGCACATTTATATTACGATGCATCATGCGTTATAATCGCGTGCCTCACGCGATACCTACCTGACGCAAGTGTAAATGTAAAAGTCTCTACTGTAACTTGAGGCAATCGTAATACATTTCATTAAACCAGCAATATCATCGGTACTTTCTTTTAAAGTCGTTCCGATCTTAAACATGAAATATTTCTACAATGGGGACCTACATACGTCAAATCATTGCATTGTTATTCACCGTATACACGTGATTAGGATTAAATATACACCGGATATTGCAACGCTTTACAAAGAGCATGCGCAAACAAGGTTTCCGTGTTTGGTATAAACAGATTAATAAATTCTAAGTTACAAGCGAAAGGAAAGGATTGTTTCAATTGAAAGAAAGATATATCAAACTTGCGTTGCTTGTTCTTTAATCAGAGTCTCTAATTGAAAATATCTATATCTTTTTTATTTGATAAAACTTGCGTTATATAAAAGATCAACGTATACAAATTACATCGAATTCTTTCAATAATTCTCAACTTTCGTTTTATAATCTTGTTCGTGAATGAAAATGCATATGTTTAATAAATTACAACCAATCTCTCGTGGTAATATAAAAAATGTAAGAGAAGTTGATTCGTCAATGAAATATGAATAAAACACGTGTATCGAATATTTGCGAAATGTTTTCGGTTGGTTAGACGATCGTTTGTACGATGTAAAACTGATGGCAGAGACGACGACGACGACGACGACGACGACGACGATGATGTAGACGACTATTATTATTATTATTATTATTATTATTATTATTATTATTATTATTATTATTATTATTATTATTTTTATTAATGTTTCAGGTGTGAGCCGTTATGGGTTATACTCGTTATTTCCCGGGGGTGGCGGAGGTAGTTACGTCGCGGCCACTCCCGCCACCCCAGGGCCACCCACCCCCGCGCGCGCTTATCACGCAACAACGCATAAGGGTAAGTTTATAAAAACTTTCACCTTCTTTTAGTCTCGTTCTCGTCTCATCTCTTAAACAACGTCGACTTTCTCTCTCTCTCTCTCTTTTTTTATCTTTCTTTCAATCTCTCTGTCTTTGTCTACATCTATCTTACTCTTTCTATTCCCAACTCACCCACTCTCCCACTCTCCCCTCACCTCCCCCCAACACAAATGTTCGCTTGTCTCCATTTCTCATTCTATACTTCGCCTCCACGCTTCTCCCGTCGTTCAGATTAGATTTATTCGTTCCGGGAAAATCTGTGACAGACTGCGAACGTTTCTCTCTTTCAAGTGCATACGTCTTGCAAATCACCGAACGAAATAGCATCGTCCATTAACTTTTATACTATACCTAGGATCAGGTCTTATCCCACTCTCTCTCTCTTTCTCTTTCTTTCTTTCTGCTTTTAATTCGGTTTTATTTTGTTTTATTTTATTCTATTCTTATTTTACCTTGACCATAGCCATTTTGTTTTCTCAAATAAATATGTGATTTTTCATTCAATTATTTATTTCTTTTGTACTACGAATTAAAATGCTTATTCATGTATACATTTTCTATGTACTTATAAACCTGTTTGCATCGACAGATCATTTTTTTTTTTTAAAAAAAAGGATGTAAAAGAATTTTCATCGATTTACTATGACTACGATGTTTGATACGTAGATGATTTCGATTATTTCCGTATGATAACCATCACGATACGAACGAAACGATAAGAATATAGAATTAATTTCGGTTTTTGGTATGGAAATATTGTAACGTGTTAAAGCTTGGCAAATTTTCCAACTTATTTTTCTCAAAAAAAAAAAAAAAAAAAAAAAAAAAAAAAACAAAAACAAAACGTCGTGTGAATAAATATGATTGCACATTTTTGACTTAGTTAGTTTTTGATATAAAGTAAGTTTATACGTTCGGTTGTATCATCAGTTACAGAACACCTTGTATATGTCCGAATGTATTCGAAGTACATGCAGATAATTTGAATTCGGTACTTTGGAAGCACGTGCGTATGGGTAAACACGCGATCGTTTATAATTGGCATCGCTGAGATGTAATCTAAATGAAATAATACGCACTTCGCGACATCGATTGTATATTACGTTCTGTGCGCCACCTGCTGCAGCTGCTTTCGAAAAAATTGGAAATATTTGTACATTGCCGTCGTGTTGTAACTCTCTTTCCAACTCGCGAAATTGTGCCAACAATAAGGAATCTTTCGTGGTGATTTAACATTAAGATATCGTAAGAAGTTACTATCGTAAGAAACGAAAGGAGTATTTTGTCGAACGGAAAAGGAAAAAATAAAAAAGAAATAAAAAAAAGAAAATACAAAAACTTCTAAGAATTTCTCTTTGCAAAAGATCGAGATATCGATTAGGAAATAATACTTCTCCTTCTCGCTTAATCGATTTAAATCATAAATAATACATCTAGTAGAGGTAATACCAATTTCAACGTGAATTTCTATCTCCTTGATTTTTTTCCTCTTCTTTTTCTCTGTTTCTTTCCTTTTTGTAGTTTGTTTTTCTTCTTTTTTTTTCTAATTTTTCTTTTTTTTCATTTACATCCACGTACCCATTGTGTAAATACACAGGGATCATTTTAACGAAACGTTATTATTACTACCGTCCATTTTATGCAAGTTATTTCAAACGTACGTAGCCCACTCTCGCATCATCATTTAAGAGCGTCGAAAGGCCAAGTTATTCTAGAGGAGGTCAGTTCGTCTGGATATTTCGGGATTTTTAGGTTTTATGTAGGCGTTTCTAAAACGTTAGGCGGGTGGTAATGGCCGAGATCGAAATACTAAAGTCATTAAGAATGAACATTTCAAAGGAAAATAATGCATAAAGATTTTCACGTACTTTTCTTCTCGAAATTTCATTCAAACAACATTTTCCTACATTCTCGAGATCTTAGAAATTGAACGATCATAATTTGTAATTCGAAACAGAGAGAACTCCTAGATATACAATAGAACAATATTATATTCCATTTTTTTTTCTTCTTTTTTTTTTTAAATTTGACAATTATACAAAAAAAAAGAACAGAACAAAAAAAGTAAAGCGCGACTTTTGAAGACCCTTACTACACAATCACATACACAAATAGGCGTGCAACCCCGTACCTTCTTGGCCACTTTTTTCTTTTCTTCTTCTTCTTCTTTTTTTCCCTCCCCCCTTCCTCTCCGATCTGTCCTTTCACGTGGGGCCCAGTCGCGAGCAAAGGGCACAAAGGCGCAATTATGCAATTAAAGCGGTGAACTATGGAACGGGGGGTCGGGGTCGGTCTCCCCCGCGTGTGTATGCGTGAATAAGAAAAAGATAGATAGAAAAATAAAGAGAGAGAGAAAGAGAGAAAATGCTTTCGGTCAAATGGAATTTTTGCTCGGCTTGCATTAGTTTGCGTGTCCCGTCTTCTCTCCCGTTTTCGGTTGCCTCGTGTTCAGGTATATGCTCCGTTTACCTCTCGTTTCCTCTCTCCCTCTTAACGACCTTATTGTCCAAGGTGTAATCCTAAACGCCGCACCGTTCGCGAGGACCACGTTCGAGGTACTGACGCTAAAAAAGAAAAAAAAAGGATTTGCGTTGAGGTAGGAAAGAGAGAAACAAAAGCACCACCATCATCACCGGCACAACAAGAAAAAAAAGAAGACGCTATTTTTCTTTCTTCTTTTTTTTTTTTAAGAGAGAGAGAGAGAGAGAGTCGATTTATCCACACACGAGAAAGTCGAGGAAATCTTTTCCCTCCCCCTCCCCCCTGTTGTTCTACTCTAACTCTTTTAATCTCTTTATATAAAATCGAATCTTAAGCGAACGAGATTTCAATTATCCTCGGTTAAATGTATAGATAAATATTTAGTATTAGTTAATAAGAGTAAAAGTGTATTGATGCAACTGCATAAATGTGCAATTCACATTTTTCTTAGAGAATTCTTTTCTATCTGGTCAAAATGTATAAAGTTACAGACCGAGGATTTAGTTGTTAGATAAGAGAGTCATGGTATTGTTGTTAATATTATAATTATTAATATTAGTTTAAAGAGAATTTGTGAGCTTGACGTGAGAATTTCCTCGGCTTTTCTTTCAGAATTTACACGCTCGAATGCTTACTGAAATGATTTTGGCGTTACACGGACACAAAATCGATTTTAATGAATAACTATATGTCTATATATATATATAAATATATAGATATACGTGTACGTGTATTTCTCTATTAATCGTCCGAACGAATATTCGTCGAATGACCGAGTTCTCCATCGAGTTGTTCGATCGAACTCCACACGCTTTTACGCACCTATGACTAATTTTCAAATTCATCCTTCTTTTTCTTTGTTTTTTTTTTTTTTTTTTTTCACGCTGCGTCGAATGTTGGCCGCAGAACGAACAGGTGGGTTAGAGAATGGAAAATAGTTGTTAAATAAAAAGATAATGCTTTTGACAGATATCGAGTGGGATCAGATTTGAAATTGACGTTTCTATTGGCCGTCTGCTGATATATAAGCGTAATACAGTTTAGTTTAATTTAGTCGCCGAGGTGTTTTTCTAAACTGTTGAATCCAAACTTTATCGTAAAACTTTAAGTACTAATCTTATCGATCATCACAAAATGTCAAATAACATTCGTAAGCCTGTCGATATGTTTTGACGTATGATTGAATATGTAGTGCGATTTATATAACTAACATTGATAAAGTTTCACCTTCGATTTGTTATTAAAAATCTTCATTCTAATCTATCGTTAGATCATTCTAATTTCGTGACAAAACAACTTGGAATACATTTTTGTCTTTGTTTTTACATTTAAAGATATGAATCTGCCATTGCAACATATCTGTCAAAAAAAAATAAAAAGAAAACAAATGTATAAATTTAACAGGGACCGTAAAAAAGGACTTTTGCGACGCTCTGTATATTTTTGTCGATATGTACGGTGAAAATAAAAATCATTGTTTAGCATTTTGTTCGTATGGAATAGCAGTTTAAGTGTTTTTCGCACGAGATAGGATAACGCGAAACGCGAATGCAAGTCCGCGGAAATCGACAACACTTTCCGTTCCTCCCCGCACTTCATTTTCCTCGAACTTCTTTTACTTTTTTTCTTTTTTCTTTATTCTGTCTGTCTGTCTCTCTTTCTCTCTCTCTCTCTCTCTCTCTCTCGCTCTCTCTCTCTCGCTCTCCCGAGAGAGCGGACATAGAGTACGATTAAAATGAATTTGCATAGACTTTCCATTTATTTATCCAGCGGTCCGTTTATTGCATATTTATCGAAACCAGTGAGAAACTAACGGCGATAAATTTCAATTCGCCCATCGGCCGAAGCCGATGCGGACGACGGGATTTAATATTTATACGATTCTCTTTCTAGTTGCTGGTTGGTTGATTCTGACTGCGTTCGCGCGCACGCAATACGATTTTACGCGACTTTTCCTTGAGGTTTATCGTTTATCGTTCGACCTCCTTCGATCTCTCTCGGCGGTAGTCGCGAGAAAATTCAAAGAATGCAACAACGCGCGTGCACTTTTTTTTTTATTTTATTTAACGCGTTATTAACGACTTGCTTTTTTCAACCAAACTGTAGCAAACAAAATTGATTTCATAATTTAAGTTAACACAACACTCAAATCCCCATTTATCTCGTACTTATGGATCGTTTAATGTTTATCAAACGCATGACTAATAATGGAAATTTCTATAATAGGATAGATAAAGAAAATCGTTAATAATGTGTTATACTCTGACACAATGAAGAAATCGACGAAGTAGAGAAAATAAGGAATTCAAGGTGTATACTCGAAAGATCGATTAAATGGAGAAATTCTTCAGTTTCAGAGAGCGTGTTCTCTGCCGCTGTCGGAGTTGGCGTTGGCGGGTACACCTGGGGTGCTCCCACGCCACCCCCAGGATCACCCTACAGCCCTGTCCCTGTGACTCAGCTCGAACTACTCGCCAAGAATTTGGCGAGTTTGGGGCCTCCCGCCCAACAGGCGTTGAGCCTTCAGGGTGTCGGCGTTAATGTCGGCAGTCTTCATCATGCGCAGCACACTCAGCACACGCAGCACACCCTCAATCTCGCTGGACTTCATCATCTGCACCATGGTGAGCAAACGACATTATTGATCGCAAGTAGGTAACATCTTTCTCACAACGGTATGGTTTAAATTCTAATCAATATATTATAAGAGGATATATATATATAAATAAAATAATATTTTTCTCTTAATTCTCTTTTCCTCCACTCTCAATCGCATTAGAATTTATTTGTCGATTGATAGAGTCATCGAAATTAGAAAAATTTGTTTAATTATTATTAATTTATACACTCTCTCTTTTCCAAATAATTATAGAAATTATAAATCTTCTATTTGTCATTTGTGTCGTGTCAAATAGATGACTCACGAGAATTATAGGGAAAAATACTGTTGTCGCGTCAGTGATGACCTCATAGTTCAATGGGGTTGTTGCATTACTGATACAAATATGATCATTATGATCTATCCTCTATAGATATAATTTAATATAACGATAATCATTATTTAATTATAAGTTGATAAATAATATATGAGATTTTGTCGAGAAGATTAAATCGTATTTATTTCGATTTGTCTTCTTTCATTATCCGCGAAAGAAGGTTTACATCAGAACACTTTTTCGCCCCAACTGTCCCTGGTGACCGGTAACGCGCCGACATTGACGATCAATAGTTTTTCCCCAAATTCGACGGGTAATGTCGTGCCGACGACAGGAGTATTGCTCCAGGAGTATCAGTCACCGACAGGCTCGACGGGCACCGGTTGTTCCGTCGCAGTGAACGGTTCTTCATGCCCAACGAGTTCGACGAGTACCACGATGGTTGTCCAGGGTGGCAACCAGGTTGTCCAGACTACCGCGAAGAAACGAGAAGCCTTCCTCTCGAGTCAAGGTCAACCGGTGAAACTGGAGAACAAGTCGACGAGGCAACCCTGCGTTTGCAGGAACAGCAACGGTACGTAAACCTTCCTTTCTTTATTTATTTCTTTCTTTATTTATTTCTTTCTTTCTTTACTTCCCTTCCATACTTTATTTGATAGATACGTCTTTAGTACTAATGTAGTTTGTACAAAGTTATCACGATTCAATTCTTCTTCAATTATGTCCATCATGTTAGGACATAGGAATCTATTAACGTTGCTTAAAAAAGAAAAGAAAACGATAAAGGTAGATAATAACATTTATACTAGAAATAAACTGTCTCTTCGTTCTTTATACGATATGAAATAAATAAACACCACTCTAAAATTGATCAGTAATTTTCTATTTAAAACGTTTCATCGGAATCGTTTTAATCATCAAGAATTACTATAAACGAAAAAAAAGTTATTTCACCTGGAAATAGTTACTGACACAACATCTCCTAAATCATTGACGTCATTCAATCAACTCAACGCATAGAAAAAGTATTACGCGTTGTATGCATTTGCGAATCGTTCAATTCGATTACATCGAATTTTCTTATTTTTCTGAACATATACACAACACATATACACAAACGTAGTTAGATTTACGTGAAAAGCAAATATTAGCGAGGACTGAATGTTACGATTGTCTGTTATCACGTACAAATAACTCGTTAGATTTCAATCGAAATTTTCAATTGGAACACGGTAGAGACACACATGTGTACCAACATACGTACGTATTAGTCGATGGCCTGAAGGCGATATCGACGAACCTGTTACGCTAAGAAGAGAGGAGCAGGAAGACGAGAAGACTTCTACGGGCTGGGAGTTAGCCATCGTTGTTGATGCAATTGACGACCTTGAAACCAACTCCCTCCGGGAGTTTTCTACTCTAAGTCCACGTCAACTATAATACTACTACGAGAAGAAGAAATACAGATGGAGGAGACGGACGGAGATCGAGAAAGAAAGAAAGAAAGAAAGAAAGGAAAAAAGAAAGAATGAGGGAGTGAGAGAGAGAGAGAAGGCGAGAGGAAAAAATAAATAAAAAGGGAAACGAAAGAGTAGAAGACGGGGAAGAAAAAGAGACGAGGCGCGGAAAAAGAAAAATAAAAAAGAAAGGAACTCGGTGTATGTGTGTATGATAGAGATAGATATATGAAGTAGTGGAACAGAAAGAGATAGCAAGTCTTACGCAAGATTCTCTCGCTTCTATATTTACTATGCGAGAAACGACTCGTCTCTCCCTCTCTCTCTCTCTCTCTCTCTCTCTCTCTCTTTTTGTTTTATTCTTTTTCTCTTTCTCTCTTTCTCTCTTTCTACGCGTTTCTCCTTGGTGTCTCCGACGCCAGTTTTACGCTTCGTTTCCATGAATCATTCCTTGGCCACCAAGTGACGTCGATACTTCCCACGAAAACCAGTCCTTACCTTCGTAGAAACTCGGCAAAGACTTTTGTGGAAGAGGTCCTGAAATTCATTCTTTTCTCTCTACCTTTTTCTTCCTCTTCTTCTTTTCCTTTCCTTTCCTTTCCTTTCTTTTTTTTTCTTTTTAAGTTTTTTTTTCTTCTACTCTTTCACATTGACAGCTAAAGAGTTCAGATCGAATCGGTGAAATAAGTTCTCCGTTGACAAAAAAAATCTATGCTTTTAATCATTGGATATAATTCTTGTTCAAGGAAGAAACATTGATTTGATTATTACGCGAGTCGTTCCTACGGCAAATCGATTAAAATATCCTATAAGCTAATTGTAAGAGTGGAAACTGATTGAGTTATATTCATATTATTTAAATTTTCTCTCTCTCGCAAAAGAAAAAAAAGAAACTAAATCTTTTTTGCTGGTATTGTAAATATTAAAAATGAAGCGTTCAATTGTTTTTTTTTTTTTGTTGGAACAAATTTTGAAAGTCAAATTAATTCTTTTTATTCGTATGGGGGATCGTCATTAACGTATGAATACGACCGACTATTTTTCATAATTAACGAGGCGGGGGGTGGGAGGAGAGGGAAGGGGCTAGCTAAATAAAAAGATCTATCGATAGTTTTCGTTTTATCGATAATACCTTTTTTCCGTTAATAATATTTCAATCGATATAGATTAATAATGTGTTAAGTGGCGATAATGTGATTAATTTTATAGGTAAAACGAAAGTGGTCCATTCGGATGCTGGCTGCAGCAGGACGTTGCCCGTCGCATCGTCCTGGAATGGACAGGATGCGAATAATGGCGTTAATTCTAATACGAATAATAATAACAACCTAGTGAAGAGAGAACCCTTGGCCTCTGTACCTTGTCAGGTTGCCGAGGTTTCAACCTCTCTTCACGCTACCACTACCTCTGTTAAGATCGAGCCGGTTCCCCCGAAATCGGAAAATGGTGAGCTTACCAGCATTCCATTTTTCTCTTTTTTTTTTGTATTTCATTTTCAGAAATAAATATACAGAGTTATAATCGTACGAACAACGAATTTTCTTACAAATTATTTTGTTAGGTAACAATAATTAATGAAAGAAAGTTCATTGATAAGGATGATATTTTTTTTTAATCGTTCGGTTTGCAATTGATTGTTTCATAGGACGGGGGTGGGACGTAGGGGAGGGTATTGCTTGAAAAGAAAATTGTTTCTACGTTGGATTGTGAAAACTTTTCAACTCGCCTACGTATGATTATTTCTGTAATAATAATTTCAATCCTGATCTAAATAATATATATGTATATTTTAGAGAAGATTCTTTTAAAAGATATTAATTATTAGATTCTGATAATCGTAACGATGAAAATGATATAATCGTTAGAGGATATTTGAAATATTTCCAGCCAAAGTTTTTTCTTTTTTTTTTGTATGTACCAGACAAACGTCATATATATATTTTATATCAATTATATTAAAACATCTGACTTCAATTAACGGTCGCGATTACGAGGTTGTTCATTATCGCGGGTTTGTTATTTGCGAATTTTTTTTTTAATTACCATTCGAAAGTTAATTTCGTCATATACGGTTTGTTTTCGTGTATGCGTCAGACAGGCGCGAAATACATTCACCGGCTCGTTATTGAACCTTTGAACCGAGTGAAAGAATGAATTAATGAATTTCGATTATTTTAAATAGATTTACGTGAACGATTAATTGCCTACCATCTTACCGCTTTGATCCTTCATATTTTCCCTTCTTTTCCTTTTTTATTTTCTTTTTTCTTTTCTTTTTTTTTTTTTCTTCTTTTCACGATCGATGTTCGTTAACGACAAAATCGATCGAATGAGAGAAATTTTGTTGGCTTCCACGTAGGATACCTAAAAGCTTTTGTCTCGAATCAACGACGTGCCGCCTTTCGTTTATACTTGCATGGAGGAAAAACAAAAAAAAAAACTCCCTGTCAAAGTTATGAAATAATTACCATATTATCAAGGAAAAATATTCGACAAATTTTTCTCGAATTTCGCTGCTGAGAAGTGGTTTTTCAACGTTCTTTCGTGGCTGGCAGGTGGAGGGGAAGGGGAACAAAAAGTTTCCCTTGAAAATCAGCTTTTCTCGGTCGTTAAACGCGTAGAAAGAGTTTCGCAGGGTAGAACCGGGAATTATCTTATGTACGATCTGTGCTTGAAAACTTATTTTAACGACGGTAACTCGCGTTATGTTCGTAAATTACGTTCTTTCTGTATCGCGAGAGTGTTACGAAGTATATCGTGCTATCACATAGCGAATAACGAAAAATACATAATATATAAAATAAATATAAAATGAAATGCGTATTTTAATAGTTGGAAAAATAATATGTCCGAGAATCGAAATAGATAATATTTCGATTGGAAAAAGAATTTGTAAAGAAATTCGAGTGGTGGTGGGTGGTGGTGGTGTTCCTTTCCTAGATAAATTTGGTTTTGAATATCGAGAGCAGCTCCGGTTATTACACTTGGTGCGCGTGGCTTTGTATGAGTAGAAAAGAGGTATTCGTGAAATATTGATTATCTCGTACGGTCCAATACAAAATTCATTTCCATCGTCCGGCCTTTTTATTATATAGATTTTAATGGGGTGAGTTCTTTGCTGGGGGATCGAATGGAAAAGAGAGGTCAGGTAGTCGAAGAATTGGAGCTTACTATACAGAGAGAGCCCACGATTTTCATCGATATGCAATTAATGCAAAAATCACAGTTCCGTAACTATCCGGCTGCAAGAGGGAAAAAAAGTCTCTTTCTTTCCCTCAGACGATACAGTAATCGAAAAGAGAGAGAGGGAAAGAGCAAAATCCCATTGATACTGCTTATCGGTGAATATCGCGAGGACTTAAACTGTGCCTTTATACCTAGGACCATCCGATTGGCCATAATCCTTTCCACGAATCCTGCAACGTAGAAAGTACTAATTGGCCAATATCCCAATATCCATGCATTTATTCCTTTCTCGTTTATCGTTCAAATCGCGCGCGAATCATCAAAGTTTGTCTAACAGCTCGTTCTAAATGTTCCAAGAAAAGAAACAATTGTTCATTTTCGATCGTTACGGTCAAATTTAACAGATAAACAAAAATACGAACGTCTCGAATTGTTTGGTAAATATTTTCAATCGATGATTATAAAATATCGACGAATTATGAAATTTTTTTTATTAAAAGAAAAAACAAGAAAAAAAAAGAAGATATTGTTTTAAGCGAAAATTCGCGATTATATGAGTTTATTCGGTAGGATATTTTGATCCTAAGGAAAGACGTTGACAAGGTGTGATAAACGCGCGTTAAGCAATGCGTTGTAAGTTAAATAGCGAAATGGGGGAAAATGCAAGATAATTGTAGAGAATTCGTGGTTGAGGAAAGAGACAAGCGACCGTAGTAGAGTAGGATGCGTCCTATTCGTTATGCATTTGTTCCCCGGAAACTGTTCTCTCTCTCTCTTTGGTGTGTTTACCACGCCGGACGTTTTCCCGAGGGATTGCGGATCTGTCATTTAAAAAAGAAACGCCCGGAATAACTTATACGCTTGGCTTACAATTAGTCGCTTGGTTTACTCTCCTATCGGATGCACCGTATGCATGGTGCATTAGTAAGTTATTTTACGGGTATAGGAATACGTTGCGCGAATGAAAATTATGATGGTGACGTTAACGTCCGAGGAAAAATAAATAGACGGGAAGAACAATCGACGAGTTTTCTTGTCATCAAATATTCTTTATATTTTATTCAATATTTTAAAGAATTTTTTCTCTTTTTTCCTTATAAATCTCATTTATCGATCAAATTATTTATCATCTAATCATTTCTTTTTTTCACACAATTTTTCATTACATTTTCTAAACTACAAAATAAATCCCAATGGATCGCAAAGTAAATGTTATTTCATTTTCTGTATTTAATCGTGAATAAAATAAATAAAAAAAAAAAAAAAAGAAAAGTATCTTCTTTGCTATTACTAAATTAAAAATTTTCTTATTATTATTAAAAAAGTTAATTTTCTCCTTATAACTATTAACCCTTTCTCATTTTAAAAATCATTCACGCGTACACGGATACACACACACACACACAAAGTTTTTCTATCGTTTTCTTTCTTTCATAAAAGTATGCGACGTGTAATATCACATCTGCCAAAGGACTGTAAAAGTAGATGGTTGAAAAAGGACGAGTAGAAGGAAACTCGTAATCGAGTTTCTTCACCATCTCCTTTCTTCGAAAATCGATTTTCTCTCGATTCGTCTCGACCTCCAGCTCGATGACATTCGTCCATCTATCCATCCATCCATCCATCCATCCATCTATCCAACCATCCCATCCAACCAACCAACCATCCAACCATCCTTCCTTGATGCATCGTCACGCTTGAAGCATGGACGGATGCGTCCTTGGAACGTTAGAGGAACCACGAGAATTCAGTTCGATGCGTTTCTCCTCTGTTTCATCATCGTATTCCTGTAGATGAGCAAACGCAACCGAGTAATTGCGGGCAAAGATTTTCAAATTGCTTTCATTTTACTTTGATACGATATCATCCACAACTAATTGTAAGATAATTTCATTATAATTATCAAATCCAATCTTTTTTTTCTTTTTCTTTTTTATTTATCCTAACTTCATTTGCGATCAATGATACTAAAGATAATTAAGTTGAAATCATCCCCCTTTAATTCTCACGGAAACAACAACAACAAACACTACTCTAAATGCTTTATAATAAAATATCATTTCTTCGTTCTTAGCTTGCATATATTTTACCCCAACACACAATATAATAATAATAATAATAATTAACATAATAATGAAATAATGAATTACTCTTGCGACAGAATACTTGAATTCTTTTTATTATTCATAGAAGAAATTTAATCAAGAAATACAATTTCATTTGATCGTCTGGATAATTACTTTCGTTAAACGTTCAACAAATTTCTAGAATTTACATGTTTAATTACGTTTGAATTAACAATTTCCGAGATAGGTGTTTTTGAAAGGAAATCTCTCGTTCTCTTTTCTTTTTAGAAAGGCACTCGCGTGCTTCCATCCGAACGCTTGTCTCGATAGACGAAACAAAGGCTCCTAAGAGAGTTCTAAGATGTTAACCAACGATTTCTCTTCTCGAGTCCCTTCTCTCCTTGCTTAAAGTAAGTACGTACAATACGCGTGTAACCCCTTTATCCACGACGTTAGACGTTTTTCTATGTGTGTATATACACACACATACTTTTCTATATGCAATACGTGTATACAACACGTGCATACAAATTCTTGTAATAGTGTACGTAGACGCTGCTACGTTTCAAGCTTCTTCTTGTTCTTATTCTCCTTCACACACTTTCGATGCGATGTCGTATTACACTCGAGAAAAGACTCCCCTCGAAGTTGCCCTCCCATTGGTCGAGCACGCCAACATTCAACCCCCGATCCGTGGCTTTTCCTTCCTTCCCCTACTCTCTGTCACGAAAAGAAATTAATCGAGCCACCGAAATACGCCAGTCTCCTTGACGATCAAAGCTTATGTACGTTGCTTTTACGATGAAGAAGAAGAAAAAAAAAAAAAGAAAAAGAAAAAGCAAAAATGGAGTCGACATTCTCATACCCCCCTCTTCACCCCGCCATAGTTCATCGATGTATTATTATACTTTCAATCTCTTACGAATAATCAAACGTTTTGTTTTTTTTTTCTCTTTTTGTATTTTTTATATTATTAATTTGATCGATTATTTTTCGTTTTACGTTACTATCGAACGAAACTTTGGTTGATAATTACTGTTTCAAACTTTTAGGGAAATGTTCGAACTGTTATTGGTTTTGTTTTCTATATATATATATATATATATATGTATATATACACGTCAGTTTAAAATCGGTTTTATAATTGTTATTTTTCGGTTCTGTATTAAGCCGAACCGTAACTGATACAAGACCGTTTTAATGTTAAAGAACCAATACGGAAACGATTTAAAATCGGTTTGAAAGGACCAAAACCGATACGAGTCAGAACCGTTAAATCAATTGCAGTTGAAATATTTTTTTTCGGCTCTCATCACTGCTTCGAAAGTCGAAACCGATATTGTAACAGTTTTATTGTTATCTTTTTAATAATAATCAAAATCATAATAATAAAAATAAAAGAAGAATAAAATAGAACAAATTTATATTATTTGATATATATGCAGGGTGTTCAAAATTAACAATAAGCTGAAAAAAGAAAACAAATAACAACGCGGTTTTCCTGAAAACAAAACTTCAATGTTTACATGTACAATTTTTACATTACACGATTAAACAAAATATTATAATTATTATATATATATCGATTATAGTAATTGAGAGGATTTTTCGTAGCGTAGAAATATAATCGTGGCTGTGTAGTAGCAGCAGCAAAAGGTTAAGTAGGAGGTGCGTGGCACGCATGGCGACGCAAACACAAGGCGTGGCTCGAAAGAGTCTCGACCCTACGAGTCTATCCCTTTCGTTCACAACTACACCCACGATGTATATAATACGTGTATCTTAGTCGACGAACCGCGACAATGTACGTGAAAACTTTGGCCTATCAGCTAGCCAGCCTACGAACACCCCCTTATTGCGAATTTAATCAAAGTAGAGTGTACTACCGTGCTTGTACGAATGCACGAGAAAAACAGAGAGAAAATATTTTAGATACTCGTTTATGGTCGAATTACAAAATTTCTTCTTATTTTGATTAAATTTGTCCTTTTTGATTTTTTCTACCCTGTCAAAAGGTTCTTTTTTTAGGAAGTCACCGAATGAAAACATGAATTATTATAATAATACGATTATATTTGAAACTTTGGTAAAATCGATAAATGTAATTCTCGTTTTTTTTTCCTCTTTTCTTCTTTTTTTTTGTTTTTTTTTTGTGGATAATTTCATCAAATATCGTTAATCGAGAATATTCGATTATTGTAATAGATTTGAAAAGCAAAGTTAATTTAGATGAAATTTTTGATTACATCAAATATGCGGTGTAGAAATTTGTTATCGTTTAAAATGATTCGTTATAAATGTAATTTTATTTAAATCCCACACGAACCGAAGCAACGTGGGGTGATATCGTTCCGATTATTATTATTATTAATATTTCTCTTGAATCTTTTTCATTTTAGGTATACTGGTATCGAATACTAACGCAGGTGGAATACCAGTTGGAATTGCTATGGCAAGACAGAGATCACAACATCAGGAAACCTCGGCGTCCATGAGGAATGTCTCCCTCAGTCATCATACGTCGCATCACGCAAGTTATCATCACTTTCAACCTGACAATCTTGGTGAGTATCTATATTACACGTATATATTGTATATCTTGTATAGAGTACATATCCGTTACGTATGTTTATACATACATTTCACAATTTATGTCTAATATAATATAGATAATAATACAAACAAACATGTTTGAAATCAATTGATTTTCTGCCATAATGATAGTCAGTAGTACTTTTCAATGTTGTAACTTTCTAATAATCGAAAATGTTGGAAATGTTAAATGTGAATTCGTTGTGTTATTATTAATTAAAATATCTCTTGAACATGAATCGTATGAAAAATGCATTTGAAGGCAGAACTCGTACAGAATAAATGCAAACAAACAGATACATAGTGCAATAAATAAATAAATATATATATAATATATGAGAGAATATTTTCATTGATAAAATTTGTATGAAACTTAGATGTCTTAATTTCTTACCGTCGTGTATCTCTTTCTCTCTCTTTTCGAATCTTAGTTGTTGCATCTTTTTATAAACGCCGAATTCTTAATAAAAGTAATAAAAGAAAAGCTTTTGAAATTTGTATAGATGATCGATTATCGAATAGATGTAATTAGGAGAAAATATTAAATTAAGTTGGTTCGTTAGTTCGTTCGTTGGACAAAAAAAAAAGAGTATTCGCGAGTACAATGCGTTAGTACGCGCTCGTATAGAACGGATAAGCGTTATCGGATACGCGGCTGTTTTCATTTGAGCCAATGTGTAGAGGCATCGGTATTCGAGAAGCGGCTCGAACATCTGGGCGGAATATTAACGAGGAACGACGAAGAGGGGGATGCGGACATTCTTTCGAAATGCCTCTTCCGTTCCGCGAAGGGTAAAACCGATTGCGCGATATCAAATCATCCGGCAAATTTTCATTCCGACGTTTTATTCGAATTCTCCAGAAAATATCCCCAGTGAGAGAGTCAACGTAGACAGTTACGATAATAAAATCAAGTTTATAGTTCAAATTTGTACAAATATATATATATATTCTAAATGTGCGTGCATTGCATAGGGGACAACAAAAAAATATATATAATTATGATTTGATTATATCTAGAAAGAAGAAAAAAAAAAGAACATACCTTCGATAAGTTGGAATAAACAAAAAATGATAAAAAGAAAATAATATAAAACAACTCGGATATTTTAATAACATTTAATAATAGAAATTTCTTGCAAACATTGATAACAAAAAAAAAACAAGTATATAGACGCGGTAAGTAAACGAGTCTAACGAATAATTATATCATAATGATCCTCTCAATGAAATAAAAATATTCGAATAAAAAATATTCTACGAAGAAATATTAGAGTAGGGTGTAGTAGAGTAAGGTCGGAAGCGAAAAAAAAAAGAGGAGGAAGTATGAGTAAAAAAGAAAAGGAGAAAAAAAAAAGAAAAAAAGAAAGACTCTCGTAAAGAAGGAATTAAAAGAGTCATTCATACCGTATAATCACAATTCTTGTGGTCGATATTGTATCGTTTCTCCGAGGCGCTCGTTTTTCGTTTCCTTCATGCCGGCGCGGTAAAATGACAGTAATTTGCACGAGCCGGGTAATTTTCAGAGTGCGCACGTCTCCGTGGTAATTGACTGTCGCCGATTGCATATGCAAATATCGATAATCGAAGCAGCCTTACGACTCGATGCCAATGATTGATGTTCCGTACTAAATAGCGAGCAACACCGAGAAATCGGAACGGGAATTTCATCGGCAGACAATAATTAGATATAGTTGTGCTTAGAGATATTCGAGATGCTTCGAAACTCGACATAAGAGAGAAAGAGAGAGAGAGAGAGAAAGAGAGATATTATAGCGACGTATCATTGATTTCCTATAAATTTGATAAATATTTTATACAATAGTTCATTTAACGAAGATACTTTAAAAGTGTTAATTCAAAATCAAAGAGATATATTTGATAAGATTCCTTGAATCGTTCTGTGTTTTCTTTATTTTTTTTTTTCTTCGTTGCATTATAATGCATCCATCTATCTTTGCAAGATAATGAAAGAAACATTTGAATTCGCTTTGCCCGCGTATCGTAAATATCGACAACTTCGTGGTGTCGATTTTTCGGTCGCGTCTAACCTTACTTTTCGAAAACGCGGCGAATAAAAGTATAACTTAAAAAAAAAACTATTGAAAAATATTTATGTGGAAATAGTAATGGAAATTAGTTTGATCGTTAGTTTGGGCCCTGTCGTCAGGTTCATCGAGCACGGCCATGACGGTAGGCGGCGCTACGCTCGTCCACTGTGGCGGCGGTGGTGGGGATGAACGTCCGGCCCACCTCGCCATTCCTTCGGGTGCTTTGGCGCCCTCGTTGAACGCGGCCCTCGGTTCGAGTCTTGGTTCGAGCCTTGGTTCAAGCCTCGGTCCGAATCTCGGCCCGAGTCTTGGCTCCGGCCTGAATTCCACTTTGAATTCCAGCTTGAATTCCACTCTCGGTAGTACCGCAACGGCCGCGGCCACTACCGCTTGGCCTCCCACGCTTTGGCAGTATCCGGCCTCGGCCGCGGCCGCTGCCGCTGCTGCTGCCGCCGCAGCCGCAGGTAAACTTTTAACTTCTATCCCTCAATTATTTTACATTCTTATATTATAAATCTACCATCATATCTGTTAATAATTCCACGTAGTTTAATCATTATTTTTCGCTAAACTACACGAATTATTAACAAACCATCTTTTATATTCGTCTAACATTTCATCTATATTTTTTTTTTTTATCTATTTATCTATCTTTCTTTCCTTCTCGCTTATTATCATTTCGTGCCAATTCGTACGATCTCGCTTTGTTTTTTTTTTTTTTTTAGCAAAGCCGAATATTTCATTTTTACGAAGATTAATTGTGTCCTTTGTGTCAGATGACATTACAATAATATAGAGTATATATTTAATCAGATGAAAAATCGTTGTGTATCATTTGACGCTTTACTGAAAGATAATAATAGTTATGTGGAATATATATTTGGCTCTGTTACGTTTTAGCAATATTCTTTCTTTTTTTTTGTCGTTTCTTCGTCACGAACTTTTCTTACCATCTTAAATCGACGACGACAACTCTTCGTTGACCGACTGACATTTGAAAACACAGTAGTCTTTTTCCTTCTATCACTTACTTCTATTCGCTGGTGATGTCGTCTTAGCTGAAAAATTCATAAGCCTCGGGAGACACGTGTTTTTATCTTTATCTCGTCGAATTCTAACTCGATCGTTACCAACTTTAAAAAGGTCTATCATTCAAAAGCGGACCTTTTTGCGTTGCGCGTAGAATGATTTGTATTTTGTTTTATAGCGATGCCCATGGAACCCGTAGGGTTCCCACAGATGGGCGTCGGTGTGCAGGGCGGTCTGCAGTTGGTCAGAGATCCATCCAGCGGTCATCTTCTTTTAATTCACGCAGCCGGTACGTTAATAGCTCATTTTATTTCTGATTTTTCCTTTGATTTCCCTTCCGTTTTCTTTTTCTTTTTTCTTTTTATTTTTCTTTTTCTTTTTTTATATAGTTTCTCTTAAATATTTTTTCTTTAATTATCATTTTGATGTCTCAGAAAAATATATCGCAACGTGTGCTCGTAAGTCCTCTGTAATATGTTGTAAAAGAAAATAAAAGGAAGGAAAACAAAAAAAAAATGTGGGAAAAGAAAAGAAGGCGAAAGAGGGGTAAGAAACGAATATGGTTTTTTGACAGAACAAATGCAGCAGGCTGTGGTCTGGCCGAATTATCCAAATCACAATGGCGGAAACGTAGCGCCTCCGTCCCTTTTGTTACCACCGCCACCACCGTCCCTTCAACTTTTAGGCGACATAGGCGGTGCTAGATTGGTCCTTACCGAGAGTAAAAGAAAACAACAGAACACTTTACCGATCGTAAAGATCGAGGCGGATTGCGGTACGAGTCCGACAACCATAATCAGTAAGTTAGATCGATGTGATCTAGAAATACGTTAGAAAGGAAATATCAAATAAAAACGTTTTATGTTAATTTTCTATTGATCTATCTTTCCATTCAGAAACATTACGACAACGACTATTGAATTGACAAGAATGCTCTAATCACGACGGCAATACCAAAACTACTAACACATGTTTCTTAATTCTTTGAAGCACTGAATTTTAGAAAAAAAAAAATAAAATAGCCCGTTGTTAGAAAATTTAACACACGCTAGGTTTATTTTCGTTATCGGAATATTTTATATAACATTAAATGAAGAATCGAAAGCAAAATTATTTCGATATTCGATAATTATAGGTAAGAAACATAAAAAACAATTTCTAGATATTGATATGTACTTAAACCTAATCATTTGTCGAGGTAATATACGTAATATCCTACAATGCAAAATTTATGATGAAATTTTGAAACTCTCTGGCATGCTTCAAAGAGTTAATATACGATAGAATCGGTAGTTCGATAATCGTGTTAAACACCTTTGTCGATTTTTGCAGCATCGACGGAATCAACGAAGGCATTGCAGAGCGTGACATCGGTGACGGGCACTCTCGTGCCAGATGCACCGCTCGTAACGACTCTTCATTACTACCCACATGCACCAGCGTTGGTGCAGATTAGTCAAACGGAGCCCACGCATTGTAGGTCGCAGGTAGGTCGAACGTATCTCGTTAGAGATTTTTCAAGGCGAGAACAAAAATAATCATTTCCAAGGGCGTGCATAGAAAAGCGATCGTTTATCGATCGATATCTCGACTTCTCGAAGAACGATGAAGAGAGAAGAGAAGAGAAGAGAAGGGGGGKGGGGGGAGGGAGGGAAAGGAGGTGGAGGAGAACGGGAAAAGGAGAAGGGGCAGGAACTCGTAATGCTAGGAATAATTATGCCACGCTCAGGGCGCGGTTCAGCAATTCGCATAACGTGGAAACGTTCTGGCACATTGTATTAATCATGCGCAAACCCGTCCACCGATTTGCATTGCTATCTGCATAGATATTGCGTTCGCTCCACCAGCACGCCGCGCTACGTAATATCCGTGTCGGCGCTGGAACGCGCTCTCTCCGACTCGGATGCTGTTGCTTGCATTGTCCTTTTCTTTTCTTTTTTTTTCTTCTTTTTTTTCTTCTCTCTCTTTCGTTTTCCTTCTTTAGCTACTCGTTCTCTTAGCTTCTTCCCAATGCAATTTCTTCATCTTCCACATGTTCATCGTGATCATCATTGTTGTCTTCTCGATCATTATTATCCAGTAGTACTATCAAGCGAACGTTCACTTTTCCTACTCGTAACGTTAATAATATATTCAAATCAAATTTCTACATTCGAGATTGAGAATTTTTATTCGAGTACTATTCTCGACGAAATTTTAACTGCATACGTGTTCAAGTGTCCAAAAGAGTATACAAGAATTGTCGAGTTTTCAAAACTTACGATCGATCATATATAGGATTATGCTACCAGTCCCCTTTTCTCTCTCTTTCTCTCTTGACTCGTTCAATCGCAAAGCACGCCCGTATTTGACGATCGAAAATCCTGCGAAAAGCAGCGAAATTCGTTTATTTCGAAGGCAACCTCGCCGGTATCCTGTCTGACGCCCCCACCAGAAGTTACGTCGATCCATGCAATCGAACCACCACAGATGACACCGATGGTCGGTGTTCAGGATGCTTCGAATCAAACAGAAGCACCGGAAGCCGAACAGGAACAGGATGTACCGGCAATGGTACCAATGGAGACGCAGGTTAAACAGGAGCAGAATTTGAGTCCGTGTCAGCTTCAATGCGCGAGTACTGCGACAAATCTCACTACTACAACTACCACGACGAATTTGACGAATTTGACTAACTTCGAGATAGTCGCTGCTGCCCCGGAAAAAATGTGCAACGTCGTCAGGATAACAACTACTACGACTACGGTCAATCCGACCGTTTGCGGTATCGTCGGCAAAGTCGATAAAGCAGAAAACACGATCATCAATATGGCTGATTGTCCGAAATATTCGATTACGAGGGAATGCAGAAGCGTTACGTCGATCGACAGGACGATCGAACGCGTCGTGAGTCGTCAGGATGATTTGGAACACGACGAGGAAGAAGATTCCAGGCAGGATCGGACAACGATCAATGACGATGACGATTGTTACGACAACGGCAAGTCACCACCACCGATTTGTCGAGACGTGAGAACTGGTCCCAGGATCATCGAAATCACCGAAGAAAATTGTGACAGTTTTCACGAAAATTTGGATTTCTTTGCAAGGAGACGAGATCGTTCGACCGATCGTATTAGAGATCGCAGGAGAAGTTACGCGGTCGATACTACGCAGGAACAACCTCAACAGAGTCACGAAGACGAGAAAAAAGTCCTTGTCGAAGAGGTAAGACTTTTCAGATATTTTCATCTGTTTATTTATTATTTTTCTTTTCCTTGTTGTAAAAATAGTTTTGCATCTATTTTAAAATGATAAATATATTATTATAGGATCATCGATTTTCAATATATAAAAAAAATATTTTCCTTTTTCATAAATAAAAATGGACAAAGAAGTTACACATCCTCTTCGAATCAGTAACAGACATCCTCCTCATCTTTTCTACAACTAGAAAGTAAATCAAATGATAAAATTATTGATAAGATCGATAAAATAATATTTCCGTTTTAGCCCGTGATTGATCGGATCGCTGAAGAATCAAGGGGTACAGTTATACATCAAGTTATTGCTAAAGTATCACCGGAAACTTCTTATTGCGAGTCACAGACGAAAGAGGAAATGTACGAGGATTCTAAAGTAATCGTCGATTCGACGTCGAATAACGGGCCACAATCGATGACGATAACAACGACTACAACGACGATGACGACTACTATGACGACTATTATGACGACTACGATGTCAACTACGATGACAACTACGATGACAACTACAACGACGACGACAACTCCGCAAAATATTGGCGATTGCGATAGTTGCGGGAAAAATCGAGATATCCGTCCGCAAGTAGTCGTCGTTCAGCAAAATTCCGAAGTGAAACCTCAGATCAGTGTGAAATCTTTCGACATGCCCAACATCGATTGCGACGATCAAGAAGTGGAAACGGTCGTGATCAAGCAGGAAGCAGACGACGGTTCCTTTGACGAACAAAATTCTAAATTCGATAATCCATCGTCTATGGATAAGCCAAAGGATTCGACGAAGAGGCATTCGGTAGAACGATCTCATCCAGGTATCGAGAACGTTGTTGAGAAATTGAAGAAAAATGCAGCTGCCGCTATGCAAGAATCGTCCTGTCCATTACAAAAGATCGATGAGTCCAAAGAACGTAACGGCGATAACTTACGTTCTAGAAGGCATCCGGAAACGATGCCGAGAAAGTTAGAGAATGGATTGAAGAAACACATATTGAGATCCTGTGAGAATGAACAATTGATGAACGAGAAACGTGAAAATTATGAAAGATCGGAGATCGAAGAATCTTCGGAGAAAGATCCTTGCAGTTTAGCTTGTGCTCGGGATTACCTGCATAATGATAATAATAATGATAGTAGGAGTAACAATAATAATATCAAGAATATCAATGATAAAGAACATGTCAGCAGGAAAAGGTCTGCAGTGGATTCAATCGATTCCAGGGTCAAGTACAATGCATTACCGAAGGTAAACGCGAATCTCGCGAAAAAGAGTCGTCTTCTCGATAGAACATCAAATGTCAATGAAGACACCGTTATTTTATCAGCTGCCATTGTCGACAATCAAAATACCAAATTGAAATTGGCCATTTCGGCTAAACCAAAATTTAACGTTGATCTCAGTGGCTTAGAATTACTTTCGAACAGCATCGAACAGTTAGAACATTTGAAACCCGAGGCACAGAATTGTACGACACCGGACCTCGAGGAAGGAAAACTGATATCTCCTCCGGATGAGAGTAATAATAATCGGCTGAATAGTCGGCTCAATTTGCTCTGTGCTTTGGCTGCCATGAGATTTAACGAAGAAGTCGAAGGAGACAAAGTGCCGACTAAGCCCAATATCGAAAATTCCGAAGAAATATCTCGAGCTAGTAAGCTTTTGTTAAATCTTGGAAGGACGAGTTTGGAGAAGGAAAGAAGAAGATTGGATAAAAGAAAAAGTACCGAAGGAGACGATGAAAATTACGAAAAATCTAAACGACTCAAGACCGATGTTGCCTACGAAGATAACGATGTTAAAAATTCATCGATATATTATTACGAGCAAAGTGGTAAAAGTAGGAAACACGGAGCTAGATTGCAAGAAGACATGGTCTTCAGAGTGAAAAAAAAGCCAAGGAGAAGTATTGATCTCCCCGAGGACAATTGTATCGACGATGAGGAAACTTCTTCCTTGGCTGATAGATTCGTACGAGAACGAAAATGCGTTCCTAAAATTGACAAGGACAATAACGATTTGAATTATGTTGAAAATAAGGAAACCTTGGAACGTTACGAGCCTCATTACGAAAGATTTTGCACTGACGATAGGTGTTACCGTGATGTTTCTAAAGAAAATGCCTTGACAGATTCTGAAACCGAAAACGACAAGCCAACATCCTCTCCTACGAGATTAGAAGAAGACGAACTCGACGTAAATATGCAAAGGAGACGAGAATCTACAGAGGAAAGTAACAGAGAAGCAAAATTAGATAACAAAATAATCGCTGGTAAGAAAATTAAATTGGAAGAAGACGGGGTTTGGCCAAATACAGAATTTACGGTGATGAATATGAGAGATAGATTAGCTGATATCCAAAGACAATATAAAAAAAAACAAAAGGAACTTTCGAGGTTAACGCCGAAAAAAGAGGATAAGAGAAGTCCAGGTAGACCGAGAAAGAAGAGTCATTCTTCGAGGTAACAAAATATTCATTATATTTTATTGAAATAATATATATATAATATATATGTGTGTGTATATACGATTATATATTTTTGTTAGTTCCGAACACAGTATTCTCTCTTCTCCTCCCATTTTGGAACCAGTAGTCCCATGTCAAAAGTCTCCGTCACATTCTCCTGACGGAGCTCCACCGCCGTTAACGTCAGCAGTCTTGGCCATGCCAAGATGTAACGTGAATCTTGTGAAACTCGGCGAACCTCGAAGTCATATTAAACTTTTGGACAGTATACCTAGTATACCTATATCAGTACCACCGGTTGCTTCGCCTATCACGGTCTTACCTACTAGCAAGATACAATCAGAAGATGACGACAAGAGTGCTGGAAGGGTAATTATTTTCTTATCCTTTTAACAATTCACCGCGTGGGTATAATAGCGAATCTTGTAGAAGCAAGTTTTTTTTTTTTCCTTTTTTTTTTTTTTTTTTTTTAGACGGAATATGACACGTCTTCGCCAGCACCAACCATAACAAGTTCTTCAAGTTCAGCATCAAAAAAACGTAAATTTGGCCGTCCCAGAAAACTTATGTGCACATCCGGAAATACCAGACACTTTACAGAAACAATAGTAGCTAAAAAACCAAAAAGCAAAAGTTCCCTCGTGGGTTATTTGCTGTCACCGAAAAATAGGCATCTTCAAACAAAGGTAAAATTAAATTGAAAACGATTTTGATAAATCGAAAAAAAAAAAACGAAATAATAGACGCGTTAGTAGACAATCATATCTGATTTTTTGTTCGACGTAAAACGTATTCCTCTCCCCCGCAGTACATCGCCAAGTCTGGTTATACTCCCCTACCCTTTAAAACCGGAATGTTGTCCTTAAAAGCTTCTTCCAAGAATCACAAATCAGTCAAGGCGAAGACGAAACCCGCGAAACAAACTCCGCTGCACAATAAGAACGTCATCAGTTCGATTATAGCGGAGAAGGCTAAACTTAGCCATGAAGTTAAGTTGGATAAACACAGTAGTAAGGTAAGACCAAAACTAAAAGCTGAGGCAAAAGTTAAAACCTGGGAAGACGACGAGAGTTCAATAGTTGCAAATGTATCGACGGATGCCATTAGCCAGGAAATTATTGAGGTAATCACGTTCAGTATTATTATTATTATTATATTAAACGGACCCTTTGGCGGTTTAAATTGGTTACAAAATTCTTTATTGTAAAAATATTAAATTTAATCTTTCGGACGAATCTCTAAAGTTATTCCGTGTTACAGGATAAAAATCTTGGCCAGCCAGAAGAGGCAGAGGAGGATGAAGAAGAAGAAGAGGAAGAAGAAGAAGAAGAAGAAGAAGAAGAAGAAAAAGAAAAAGAAAAAGAAGAAAAAGAAGAGGAAGAGGAAGAGGAAGAGGAAGAAGAGGGTGAGGAGGAAGAGGTGGGGCAGGAGGAGGAAGAAGAAGAAGAGGAAGAAGTAGTAGAGGAGAAGGATGAAGTGGAAGTCGAAGAAGAAGAGGAAGAGGAAAAGGTTGAAGAGAAAGAAAAAGAGGTGGTGGTCGAGAGGGAAAAAGTGGAAAGAGAGGTGGAAAGGAATAGGCACGATAAACTGAGGAAGAGGAAACAAAAGTCTATCTCGTCCTCGCCAGGTCGACATAAATCGAACGATCGCGATAAGAAGGAATCCAAACGTCGAAAATCTTCCGATTGTAAAGATTGTAAGGAATGTGCGAAGGTTGCTAAAGCGGAAAGAGCAGAAAGCATTATTAATAGATGTAAGCTAACGTCGGCTCACTTGGCTATTGATCAACTAAGAGTTCTTCTGGCAATGGGTGGGCTCTTTTATGCCGGTAGACTTAGTGCTGTTCAAGCTCCTGATGTTTATGCTATTACTCTTGATGGCGAACGAGGCAATAGACCTCACATTCATTCCAGGGAAGAGATTTTAAGAGACTCGGTATGGTATCATTTTATTTCGCAAATATATAATATTACTATATTTCACGGTTTCTGGATATTGTCAATTTAAATATCGATTTACTACAGATCGTAGAGGTATGTCCAAGTTCGACAAAAGAGTTACCACCGGGTACGAGACTTTGTGCTCATTGGAGCGAACAATACAGATGTTTTTACCCGGGAACATCGGTCGAACCTACCGAACCAGATCCTGAACTTGACGAGAAATTTGTCAGCGTTGAATTTGATGACGGCGACAGCGGTAGAATCGCTTTGGACGACATCAGACTACTGCAACCTGATTATCCTGTTGTTGGTATGTAATATTTCTTCATGTTTTTACATTCTACTTCTTTGTTAATATAATCAAATGTATGCAAGTTTATATTCCTTTATAGTATATGATCCAAATCCTCTTTTATCTTTGGGTAAACGTCGTCGACAAACATCAGTGTCGATAGAAGATAAAAGATCGTCTGTTAATACTATATCTGGTACAACATCGAATATCAATAGTTTAACATCTACGGTTTCCTCGACAACTAACGCTCTCGTTGCATCTTTCGATAAAACGTCCGTGGAACGACATAAAACGGATGATATCAGTGCTAAAGTATTGGATGATTATCGCGAACGTAAACGTTTGAAAAAGAGAAGAAAGGATAAGTTGAAGAGACAGCACGAAGCTCAAGAAGGAAAAAAAAAACATAAGAGGCATAAGGGTTGCGAAGAACACAGAAAGCATAAGCACAGGAAACATAGGAAACACAAACACAAGCATAGTCATCACTGCAACCACAGCGAAGGAAGTCAAATAAGGTTTGGTTTCTAAGTTTAATTACACAATGCACAAGAAAAATTAAAATAATAATAATATATTACTAATAAGCTTTCACATTAATCTAATACTTGGAACGTTTCTTAGCAGCGGGGAAAGTTGTTGCGGTCAAAAAAGCGAAGACGAACCAAATAAAGAAGCTCCAGCTAAGATTGAAGAAGAAGAGGAGGAGGAGGAGGAAGAAGAGGAAGAGGAGGAAAGCGAAGAAATGGCCATAGTTGAAGAAGAGCCAATCGAACCAGTTCAAGAACCAATTGCAGAAATAGTAAGGGAAGAAAAGAGAGAAAAGCCGAAAAAATCTGATAAAAAAGGGAAAGTACGAGAGAGACAAGAGTCTGTTGAAAGTCGAAGTAAAATGGCTGCATTCTTGCCTGCGAGACAATTATGGGGATGGTCTGGCAGAGGTTACAGGAGACCTGGTGCAAAAGGAAGAGCTAAGAAGCAATTTTTCCGAGCCATTCAAAGGGGAAACGAAACTATCCAGATTGGTGATAGTGCAGTTTTTCTTTCTACTGGTAGACCAGATAGACCATACATTGGACGTATTAAGTCTATGTGGGAAACATCGAGTTCTAATATGATAGTTAAAGTTAAGTGGTTTTATCATCCCGAAGAGACAGTAAGATGTCCGACCAATCTAAAATATCCGGTAAAAAATTTTTCTTTTCAATTATTATTTTTTTTTTCAATTATTATTTTTCTTTTCAATTATTATTTTTCTATTATTTAATATATATATATATTTCTAATATATATTTCGTGTATTATGAAATAGGGTGCTCTATTCGAATCACCTCATATGGATGAAAACGATGTACAAACAATTTCACACAAATGCGAAGTACTACCATTGGACGAGTATACAGAAAAGCTGGGAAAAGAACCTCACAGATATCTTACCATCTATGATAACAACGATATCTACTACTTGGCTGGATATTATGATCCCACCACGTACCTTTTACGTATGCAACCAGGGGTTGTTTGAGAACAGCTAAAGCTGACGATAAGGTTGACTGGTGTCACTTAATCGTAGTCAGCCAAAAATTTTGCGAAATTCAATTACAATAAGCTAATGTTTTTAATAACAATTAACAAAGCTTTGTATACCTTGTCGTTGGTGTTAAACGACAATGAGGAAAAAGACACTGGATTAAGGAATCATATTCCTATCACAGAAGTCATAATGCAATAAAGGAGATAGAATGCAATTGTCTTGCATTCCCATTGTACGCCTTCTTGATATTTATTAATGAGAACGATGTTTAATAGAGTTCATTATTATCATCTAAAAACTTGCATAAAAAAGTCTAAAGAAATCTGCTGTGCAGAATCTTTTGCGATATATCTTATTCATTAACACATTGCGAATTGGATCCCGTTGCTGCAGGTATCCAAAGAAGTATCATCATTTCATGCAAGGCACAAGCGTTGTATTTGAACAAAAAAAAAAGACAAAACTATTTTTCCCGTAATCTTTGCACACTATATTTGCAAGTTTTATCACAAAATATTCACGAAGTGCACGAACTTGAATAAATTTAAACGAATTCGTATTATCCAATAGTAATTCAAAACTACGTATTGTAGCAATAAACGCTTTCCAATTTTTCTCTCTATTATCTTATTGAACATGATCGAGAAAAAAAAAAAAATAAGAAATAAAAAGAATTTTTCGATAAAGTTCTTAAATAATCTTGTTAATCAATCAGCTAAATTTAACGATAAAAAGAAACTTATTAAATGCTATTAACATATGATTATTTTCTTTATCGTGCATAAATAAAAATGAGTCTCTTACTAACTCGATACTTGCTTCTTTAAACTCGTACGTCAGCTAATGAGAAACAGTTTCAATATTGATGTGTTACGTACGTCGTTGATTAACTCAAAGTGTTAGTTATTTATTAATTTAGTGTATTTTCTGAAGTGTTTTGTGATAGCGCTTGCTCAAGATAAAAAATTAACGGACGGTATAATAATAGACGAAAGAAAGATGAAATTGAAATCTACGTGTAGATATATCGTTCATTTCTCAATAATATACAATTTTATCTGTCCGAGATAATGTCCATTTCAAAGATATATTAATAAAGATGGTTAATCCTTCTTTAGATCATTTTAAACGATTCGATTGATAGAACAAATTAATGATGAAATATTTCAACTAATTTCTATACGTATGTGATGTATGTATGTGTATGTAATATACGTATATGCATTCACATTATATTACGTATCCATAGTTATATATACATATATACAGTATACCTGCTATCTTATAGAAAACAAAAACAAAAAAGGTTGACCAAAGTGTAATTCACGAGTTTGGCGAAGCTTTATTCTGATAAACTCTTTTTTAGAATTCTAATAGATTCTTATCTTCGACAGTGTCATCGATCTAATCCCACGTGTGAAAAAAAAAAGCATATTTGTATATAGGGTGGGAATGATTCGCTTGAGATTACTCGATCTCATTTCCATCGGATAAATTTATATTAAGAAAAACGTATATAAGATACGGGAGAAATCGATACAAAAAAAAAAAAATACAAAATTAATCGATATTAATGGAGGAGTTTGTGTCTTGTATTTCTTCGAGAAAATGAATGTATTTACATACGTAGGGAAAAAAAAGAAAAAGATCCTTGTTGTAGATATTTTTGTAGCCGATCTGATACTACGGCCCTGATCACTTATCACTCATATATAATAACTAAAGGAAAGTTGCAATAAACGAGTGACAGGGACGTTACAATGGAAATTCATTTTTCGTTCTTTTGTGTGTGTAAATATTGTATATAATTCTAAAGACGTTTAAATGATAATAATAATATAAATATAACTAATAAAATAATATGTGTCGCGCTTGGCACGACGATCATCTAGATAAAAGAGACGATTTTGATGAGAATATTTCGAAGATGAGGGTGTGTATATGTGTGTGTATGAAAGATATATATATATATATTAAAAAAAAGAGCAAAAGACAAAAAGTAGAAGTCCTCAGTGGATCTAGTTGCCTGAATATACATAGATATAAATATATGCGCAAACAGTGGCTTCGCGAGTACGTGTGTTGCATACATTGGTTAATATAATTGAAAGAGAGAGAGAGAGAAAGAGAGAATTTTTAATTGTAAATATTATTGATCGAGAATGAATTAATCTACGCTCAGGCGGATATCTTTTTTTTTTCGAATCTTGGCTTAAAACAATTTTATGAGACACATACTCATTGAAAACGTCGACGATAAACCTGAAAGTGTCTGCTAACGTTAAACGAAAGCGTACTTAGAATTTAAGGGATAATAAATCTGTTCGTTCGTGTCGTTCCTATGAAAAGATAAAAGAAAGATAAAAAGATAAACGAGAAAAGAAAGATAGACAGACAGATAGACAGACAGATATACAGACAGAAGGAACGAAATAAAACAAAATAAAAAAATATATACAAAGAAAAACTATTGACACGCGAAGATTTAAAACTGAGATTAATAAATGCTTTGCTGTATTGCAAAAAAAAATGATTCTGTGATTCGATGCTTAAAAGGCGTTTTTGGGCTTGAGAATCGAAAGATGGGAAGAGTTAATGAGAGAAAGAAAGAGAGAGAGAGAGAGAGAGAGTAAGTAGTGTGAACAAAAGTATGTGTGTGTGTGTGTGTGTGTGAGAAAGAAAGGAAAAAAGAAAGAGAACGAGAGAATGAAAAAAAGATTAAATTAGTTATAAAAAAAAACAAGAAACAAACAAACGAAAAAACAGCTAAAGGTGCTACCGCAATATTTGTTTTTCTTTTTTCGCTCGAGTTATTGTTTCTGTTGACAGAGATTGACAAAGATGAAGATTTACAATTAGAGAAAAGAAAGAAGGAAAAGGAAGATAAAAAAAAGGAGAGTAAGAGAGAAAGGTTACATTATACTTAAATATTAGGTTTTTATTCAAGTATGCAAGCTTAAATATGCTTCCGTTATTGACTCCGAGTTGCAACTCGCGAGCACGCTACTACTACTAGTATTTGATCGTCTATATTAGCTGTTTTAGTGTTAAGCAATTTTTTTATGGAGAGAGAGAGAGAGAGAGAGAGAGAAAGAGTGAGAAAAAAATAGAGAGTGAAAAAAATGCAGATATATCATTTTTGTATTATCTAACAATCGCACCTGTAGAAACGCGAGTTTCTTATTCATTCGAGGACCAACGTCCGTTATTACTTATTACTATACATACATACATATATCTATCGTTATTTGTCATTATTGATGACTCATTAATACTAATTACTATTTACTATTGCTCAATATACGTGATATCATTCTGCAGTGTGTGCGAAATGCTTGCCAGTTGCTTTTCCGTTTTCTTCTTCTTCTACTTTTTCTCCTTCTCTTTTCATTAACTATTAATTATTATATTATTATATATTATTATTATTATTATTATTATTATTATTATTATTATTATTATTATTAATTATTATTAATTATTATTAGTTATTAAAATTATAATTATTATCATTATTATTATGTATAGTGCAATGATCGTTGTTCTTATCAACGTGTTGAGTCTTTCTAAGTTAACGAACAAACAGGAGAGAAAAGTAAATAAAAAGCGTGGAAACGACCGTAAAAAGTACGTAAAGTATTATTGCGATTATTTAGAAAAAAAAAACGCGCAAATAGAAATGATTTGATTATAATATACTTTTGAATTCTCTCTGATTCGCACGTATATATTTGTACAAGTTTGTTAAACGATTAAGCGAGTTTTCTTTTTTATACTTATATCATTATCAATGAAAATGTAGTGAGGAAAAAAGAAAGAAAGAAAGAACGAACGAACGAACGAACGAACGAAAAAAAGAAAGAGAGAGAGAGAGATAGAGAAAAAGTGAATGGAAGAATGAATGAACGAATGAGTGAGAGAGAAAAAAATGAGACACTTGCTAAGACAATTCCAAGAGCCTATCTTTACTCAATTTCATGCGTAAAAGGCATACTTTTACTATAATACATATTATATTTAATACCTGCGAAGGAACGAACGAAAATAAGAAAAAAAAAAAAAATAAAAATAAAAAAAAATAAAAATAAATAAAAGAAAAGACAGAAAAGAAATCAAAGGAATGAAAGAATAAATAAACAGGAAGTGACGTCGTAAACGATTAGGTGTAAAATGTAATCGGACATTGCGATCGATGCTGACGAATAATGATACCATACTTTAACTATCTCCGTAGATTATCTTATTATTATGCGGACGTGTTTACTATCTATTTTAAAAGCGAGGCTAAACAAGCGTACGATTTAGTACAAACGAATTATAACACGATGATAATGTCGTCGGTGAGTTGAGTATATGATTGTGTATAAGTGTTTAAGTGTTTGATATGTATGAATGTATGTACACGTACGACGATGCAATGGTATGAAAGATTGAATGAAAGATTGATTAAAGAAAGAGAGAGAGAGAGAGAGAGAGAGAGAGAGAGAGAGAGAGAGAGAGAGAGGGAGAGAGGGAGAGAGAGAGACAATTAAAAGAAAAAGTGAAAGAAAAGATAAAGTACTTATAGCTCGGGAAACGTAAATTTTTTCATGTAAATAAATAAATAGAGTACAGCTGTGTACACTGTACATAAGATGAAAAAGAATAAGAAAAGAAAAGAAAAGAAAAGAAAAGAGAGAAAATACACTGAGACGAGTTCATATTATTTGTACGGTTACAAATTATGATCGTATAGAGTTTATCATTATTACGTTGGGAAGAGGAAGCATGGGGGGAGGGATGGAAAAAGTGCAACGGAATGTTATTCAAAACTTACACTCTCCATGTATGTAAATATATCTCGTACTTGGTCTTTTCCATCTTCGCGATACGTTTTGAAAATATTTTCGAAGAGTTATCCTTTATAGCTGTGTACAGATAATATTATACAGAGCGAAAGAAAATGCAGTGATAGAGAGGGAGAGAAGAAGAGAGAGAGAGAAAGAGAGAGAGAGAGAGAGAGTGCGTGTGAAGATGGCCGAATATAAAAACAGAATCGATTAGATTACTTTGAACGAGTAGCATCCGTATGCAATATATATATATATATAATACATACATTTATGTGTCATTGTATACATACATTTATGTATAGATGTATTCGTACATGTATATTACATAGTATTTTTCCATAAAAAGAAAGAGAGATGCAGTCGTTTAAGCTTTCAAGAGACAAAGACGGATAGAGTACAAGTGAAAAAGATAAGATAGATGACGAAAAAAAAAAAAAAAGGATAAAAAATTCTTACAGTATGTATGCGTGTATTATCAAATCGAATCCGATGATCGTAAGGATTTTCCACGATTTTTTCTGCTGTTCTCTACGTCTACTCGGAAAATCCATGGGGTTTTTTTTTATTCGATCTAACGTAAAAAATAGAAAAAAAAAAACAAAAGAAATCAAGAAACGGAATAAGGAAAGGATGGGAGATAAAGAAAGAAAGTGTTTTTTTGAAAGAGAGAGAGAGAGAGAGAGAGAGAGAGAGAGTAAAAGAGAGAACAAGATTTATTTGTAGATTTGTAAATATGTATGTACACACGTAAAAAATACATATGTACCGTAGAGACAATGAGAAAAGAAATGTCGGTGTCTTCTCGACGTTCGATAAAATAATAAGGGATTTTTCATATTTTTCGACGAATTAAAGAGGGTGGATGGGGGTGGAGGAGCAAAAAAAAAAAGATAAACGTTTTTCAAGGAATTTGTAAATAAGGAAGGGTTGTTTTCTCATTTTTTCAAATCGACAAAACGAAAATTCCTGCTTATATATATACATATATGTATATATACATATATAATATTCTTGGTCCAACGCGTCAAAGGAAAGAAATCTTGTATATATGAATTAAAAAATAGATCTCAATTGATGCTGTCACATTGTACGGACGTTCGTTGAAAAGATATCGACATTTCCTATTGGCACTCCTCTTTCTTCGAATTTACATGGAATTGAGGGATGATATGGAATATTGAGAAAGAGAACGAGAGACGTATATATGGCAATTGACGAACGAGTGTGAAAGATGGAACGAGAAAATGTGAGAGAGAGAGAATAGAACGAATGAGAGAGAAAGAGAGATAGAAAGAGAGAAAGAGAGATAGAAAGAATGAGAAAAAATGATTATCAAACGGAGGGAGTGATAGTCGCGAAGGTGAAAAGCCATACTTTTCTCCGTGCGTTTATATCGCAAACATTTGATGGGGATCGTTAATTCGTATTTTTAAGTGATCAAATGATAATATGCGTGAGGGCTGTGAGTTTGGGGTAAATTGAGGATTAGTATAGGATGTGTTCGAACGCGAAGAAAATATTACCGTTCGTACTAGTCTAGATATTGTCACTTAAGGGTAATAGTTTATAAGTGTGATCACGTAATGGGTGGGTGGATGAACCCAAATTTCGAATTCTTTTATTTCGGCGATAATATATTTTTTGTTCCCATCTCGATAGATTTTTTCTATAATTTCATAGCATGACTATATACGTTTAAATAGAAATAGTGGAAGTAAAAGAAATGAAAGCTCCGTAATAATAAAGTTGCGCGTTCTTTTTTTTCTCGTACTCGAGAAAACTGCTTTTCCATTGTAATTTTTTCTTAACTCGTTACGTGTAAATGAAAAATAGAAAAGTGAATGTGAGAGAGAAAAAGAGAGAGAGAGAGAGAGAGAGAGAAAGAGAGGGTGAGTGAGAGAGTGAATGAGAGACAAGAATAAGCATTCG